GTACTGGGGATGCTTAACTCCTGAGCTACATCCCTAACCCTTTCTATTTTTTGAGACAAGATCTCACTAAGTTGCTTAGGGCCTTGTTATGTTGCTGGCCTTGAACTTGCCATTCTCCTGCCTCAGCCTCCAAAGTCGCTGGGATTACAGGCGTGTATCACAGTGCCCTGCCTACACTTAATTTTTTTAAAAATTTTTTAATTGTTGTTGGACACAATATCTTTATTTTAGTTATTTATTTTTATGTGATGCTGAGGATCGAACCCAGGGTCTCACACGTGCTAGGCAAGCACTTCACCACTGAGCCACAACCCCAGCCGAGGCTTAATTCTTAAATAGTCCCATGCCTCACACTGGTGGGAGAATTCTTGGTCAAATCCTGCCACTTGAATATTTTTTCATTTGCTTCTGATGAACCTTCTGTGCAAGGAGTTTTTGGAGAAATAGAATCAGAGGTGGGACTTGGAGCTTTTGGAGTAAGTTGTGTGGCTGTTCTGTGTTTCCTTCTACATGTCCTCACAGGAGGCAGAATTCTATGGGAGATCTGCTTTCATTAACACCTGGCTGACCCCAAGCCAAAGAAGAAATCACAAGGGAAACTAGGAAATGCTTTGAAGTGAGTGAAAATGAAAATACAGCAAAACCAAACTTATAGGATTCCACAAAACCAATGCTTCTTTTAGAAAAGAAAAGGAAGGTTTCAAGTCATTAACATAAACCTCCACCTTAAGAAACTAAAATAGACGAAATGGAACCCAAATCAAATGGAAGGAAACAATACAGATTAGAGCAGAAATAAATGAAATAAGAAATATAAACAAACAAACAAAAAAATCAACAAAACCAAAAGTGGTGAATAAATGTATGCCAACAAATTAGTTAATTTAGTCAGGCACAGTGGTCATGTCTGTTATCCCAGCAACTTGGGGGCTGAGGCAGGAGGATCACAAGTTTGAGGCCAGCCTCAGCAACTTAACAAGATCCTGTCTCAGAATATAAAATAAAAAGTGCTAAGGATGTGAGGACATTGCTCAGTGGTAAAGTGTCCCTGAGCTCAATCTCTAGAATCAAAAAAAAAAAAAAAAAAAGTCTGAAGGTAGCTTTAGACAAACTGAAATAAGTTTAACCCTACATGGAAAGACCATGTCCTTGTAAGATAGTGAAATCTACCAGATAATTAAGAGAAATCAAGAACAATCTTTTACCAGGTCTTCCAGAAAACAGTATAGAAATCTTCCAACTTATTCTATAAGACCAGTATTATCCTGCTACTGAAACCAGAAAAAGTTGTCACAAGAAAACTACAGACCAACATATTTCCGAATATAGCTATCAAGCCCCTTTTGAAACACTGACTCTGTAAAATATTCTTACTGCAATGAGTCTTAATAAACATAGTTGCCTTTAAAAAAGAATATAGCTACTAAAATCCTCAACAAATATAAAACTAAAAAATTTTAATCCTGAACAAAATACTAGCAAACCAAATCTGCAACATATTAAAAAGATATATCATGAGCAAGTGGGATTTATTCCAGGAATGCAACACTGGCTGAATAATCAAAAATCCAGAAATTTAGTCCACCACATCAACAGACTACAGAAGAAAAACTCATATGATCACTTCAATAGACACAAAAATATTGACCAAAGCATTCAACAAACTAGGAAGAGAAGGGATGTTCCTTAACTTAATAAAGGACATCTATTAAAAAAAAATATACAGCTAACATTATACTAAATTGAAAAAAACAATGTTTGTCCCTAAGTTTGAGAACAGGAAAAAGAAGTATATTTTTGCCATTTCTATTTAACATTATATTACAGGTTTCAGATAAGACTATTAGGTAAGATAAAAATCAAAAAGCATCCAGATTGGAAAAGAAGTAAAACTATAACTATTTGCATATGACATGATTGTAACTCTAGAAAGTACAAAGGAAAGAAAATCAGAATAATTGAGTTCAGTAAACTTGTAGGATACAAGCTCAAAATTTAAAAAAATCAATTATAGTTTTGTAAAGTAGAAATAATCTGAAAATGAAATTTAAAGAATAATTTTAAAAATGGAATAAAATATTTAGGAATAACTTTAACAAGATGCTAGGCAATACCCAACACTGGGGGAGGAGGGGAGGAAATGGTGTTTGCACTTAAAGTATAAAACTGTTCAAAGAAATTAAGATGACTGAAATAATGAAAATTAGGGGCTGGGGATGTGGCTCAAGTGGTAGCGTGCTTGCCTGGCATGCGTGTGGCCCGGGTTCGATCCTCAGCACCACATACAAACAAAGATGTTGTGTCCGCCGAAAACTAAAAAATAAATATTAAAAATTCTCTCTCCCTCTCTCTAAAAAAAAAAAAAAAAAAAAAAAAAGGAAAATAACCCATGTTCATGGATAAGAAGACTTAATATTGCTTATTTTTATTTATTTTTTTAAATATTGTTTTTATACTGAATACTCTCCGCATTGATCTTCAGATTCAATGCAAAACTTATTAAAATTCCAGCTTACCTTTTTTCAGAAAAAAACAGTCTGATGATAAAATTTAAAAAGAAATGCAATTTTGTATAATAAAGAATTCAGCTGATTTTTGTCACTGGTTCCTGGAGGGAAATAGGGAAATGCTAATAAACACACACACACACACACACACACACACATATATTAGTTGTGGTTGGACATGCCCTAAATTCATGGGGAGAAGGGGTGTGGAGGCTCTGGGTTCAGAACTCTCTCAGACCTTGTGCTGTACCTATCAGACATTAAGCCCATTATGTGTACCAGATCTGTCTGACTCCATGGAGTTTATAACATAACAAATATGATTTGTAATTGCTCCCTTGCTACTGATGAGCTCTGTCTCTTGTTTAGTTCATTGGTCACATATCAGCTCCAATGCAAAGTCTATCTTGCTTCTTTTTTTTTTTTTGCCCCTTTCAATGCTTTATTCAGTCAATTACTCAATACAGTTTTACTCTATAGGTTCTTTTTTTTATTATTAGTTGTTCAAAACATTACAAAGCTCTTGACATATCATATTTCATACATTTGATTCAAGCGGATTATGAACTCCCATTTTACCCTGTATACAGATTGCAGAATCACATCGGTTACACATTCACTTTTTTACATACTACCATACTAGTGTATGTTGTATTCTGCTGCCTTTCCTATCCTCTACTATCCCCCCTCCCCTCCCCTCCCCTCCCTTCTTCTCTCTCTACCCCATCTACTGTAATTCATTTCTCTTGTTTTTTTTTCCCCTTTCCCCTCACTTCCTCTTATATGTAATTTTGTATAACAATGAGGGTCTCCTTCCATTACCATGCAATTTCCCTTCTCTCTCCCTTTCCCTCCCCCCTCTCGTCCCTATTTAATGGTGATCTTCTTCTCATGCTCTTCCTCCCTGCTCTGTTCTTAGTTGCCCTCCTTATATCAAAGAAGACATTTGACATTTGTTTTTTAGGGATTGGCTGGCTTCACTTAGCATAATGTGCTCTAATGCCATCCATTTCCCTGCAAATGCCATGATTTTGTCATTTTTCAGTGCTGAGTAATACTCCATTGTATATAAATGCCACATTTTTTTTTTATCCATTCATCTATTGAAGGGCATCTAGGTTGGTTCCACAGTCTAGCTATTGTGAATTGTGCTGCTATGAACATCGATGTAGCAGTATCCCTATAGTACACTCTTTTAAGGTCTTTAGGGAATAGTCCGAGAAGGGGAATAGCTGGGTCAAATGGTGGTTCCATTCCCAGCTTTCCCAGGAATCTCCATACTGCTTTCCAAATTGGCCGCACCAATTTGCAGTCCCACCAGCAATGTGCAAGTGTACCCTTTTCCCCACATCCTCGCCAGCACTTGTTGTTGTTTGACTTCCTAATGGCTGCCAATCTTACTGCAGTGAGATGGTATCTTAGGGTGGTTTTGATTTGCATTTCTCTGCTAGAGATGGTGAGCATTTTTTCATGTACTTGTTGATTGATTGTATGTCTTCCTCTGAGAAGTGTCTGTTCAGGTCCTTGGCCCATTTGTTGATTGGGTTATTTGTTTTCTTATTGTTTAATTTTTTGAGTTCTTTGTATACTCTTGATATTAGGGCTCTATCTGAAGTGTGAGGAGTAAAAATTTGTTCCCAGGATGTAGGCTCCCTATTTACCTCTCTTATGGTTTCTCTTGCTGAGAAAAAACTTTTTAGTTTGAGTAAGTCCCATTTGTTGATTCTAGTTATTAACTCTTGTGCTATGGGTGTCCTATTAAGGAATTTGGAGCCCGACCCCACAATATGTAGATTGGAGCCAACTTTTTCTTCTATCAGACGCAGTGTCTCTGATTTGATATCAAGCTCCTTGATCCATTTTGAGTTAACTTTTGTGCATGGCGAGAGAAAGGGATTCAGTTTCATTTTGTTGCATATGGATTTCCAGTTTTCCCAGCACCATTTGTTGAAGATGCTATCCTTCCTCCATTGCATGCTTTTAGCCCCTTTATCAAATATAAGATAGTTGTAATTTTGTGGATTGGTCTCTGTGTCCTCTATTCTGGACCATTGGTCCACCCGCCTGTTTTGGTACCAGTACCATGCTGTTTTTGTTACTATTGTTCTGTAGTATAGTTTGAAGTCTGGTATGGCTATACTGCCTGATTCCCACTTCCTGGTTAGAATTGCTTTTGCTATTCTGGGTCTTTTATTTTTCCATATGAATTTCATGATTGCTTTCTCTATTTCTACAAGAAATGCCATTGGGATTTTGATTGGCATTGCATTAAACCTATAGAGAACTTTTGGTAATGTCGCCATTTTGATGATGTTATTTCTGCCTATGCATGAACAGGGTATATTTTTCCATCTTCTAAGATCATCTTCTATTTCTCTCTTTAGGGTTCTGTAGTTTTCTTTTTTTTTTTAAAGACAGAGTGAGAGAGGGAGGGAGGGGGGGGAGAGAGAGAGAGAGAGAGAGAATTTTTAATATTTATTTTTTAGTTTTCGGCGGACACAACATCTTTGTTTGTATGTGGTGCTGAGGATCGAACCCGGGCCGCACGCATGCCAGGCGAGCACGCTACCACTTGAGCCACATCCCCAGCCCCAAGGGTTCTGTAGTTTTCATTGTATAAATCTTTCACCTCTTTTGTTAGGTTGATTCCCAAGTATTTTATTTTTTTGAGGATATTGTGAATGGGGTGGTTTTCCTCATTTCCATTTCAGATTTATCGCTGATATACAGGAATGCCTTTGATTTATGCGTGTTGATTTTATATCCTGCCACTTTGCTGAATTCATTTATTAGCTCTAGTAGTTTCTTTGTAGATCTTTTTGGGTCTGCTATCTTGCTTCTTCCCCTTCCATAGCTGACTTACCTGTTTCTTGCTTAGTGTTTTCATGTGATCTGGGAGCCCCAGGGAAATTTCCTGTTAAAAATCCCAATTCTAGCTGGGCTTGGTGGTGAATGCCTCAGCTTGGGAGGCTGAGGCAGGAGGATCATGATTTCAAAGCCAGCCTCAGCAAAAGCGAGGCACTAAAAACTCAGTGAGACCCTGTCCCTAAGTAAAATACAAAATAGGGCTGGGGATATAGCTCATTGGTCAAGTACCCCTGAGTTCAATCTCTGGTAGCCACTCCTCCTCCAAAAGATCCTAATTCCAGCTTTTTAAAAAATGATCAAGAGATCATTGACATGGTGTCAGAACCTTGACATAGAAGCAGTTACCAGAGCTGAATCAATGTCTTTCTTTCCCTGTTGTTCCCAGTTTGGAGATGGCACATTCTCTCCAATTCCTCAAAGACTGTGCCCTCTCCTTTCAGGTCCACCTCCAGCACTGTCATAGTGTGTTTCCTGCCTGGCCCCTTTATCCCTCTTGAGGTTCACCATTAATTTCTGAGTCTCCCTGGCTTTCCAGAAGTGATTCCTAGAAAGGAAAAGATGATGTCTTTATTTTTTCACGATGACATCTGATATAACCAACATGTTCTCCAAAGTGGCAGAACAAAGGAATTTTTTGCTCAGGAAACTTAGGTCCAAGTTGGCTGCAGCCATTTGTTATTTGCCATTCAACGCACTAGGTGGCATGACTGCTTTGGTGGCTCAGAAAGCATAATGTTTCTCTTTGCCAGGAGGGAAAAAACAACAACAACAACAACAAAAAAAACAAAACAGATGTGAGTAGGACTACATATACTGGGTCCTATGAATTCTTCCAGGAAACCATTAAACCTCTGGGTGGTCTTGGGGGCCCATGACAGCTTCTCTTTGCTTGTCTGGATTCTATTCCTCTTCTTCCACAGTTACCACAGAGGGAGTGACCCCTCCTGAGGCCTAGGGAAGCTGCCTGCACAGGCTTTGGAGATAGGACCTTAGGTCAAAACCTGCCTATGGTGTGGTGCACGCCCTGATGAATGGCACCTCTTGGCAGGAACTCCTTAACTCCTCAGATGGTACTTAATCTTCGTTGTTTCATTCTTCCTAAGATCACAGGCTTTGCAGACAGACCTCCTTTTAAATCTTGACTCTGTTACCTTGGAGCAGCCTGTTTATCTGGAAAATGAGTTGAACTGGGTTTAATTTAAAGGAATCACAATGCAAAATAGTGAGCACAGCGGTATACAGTAATCATGCAGCAGGTAGGTAGTTTTATTATTGTTCTGGTTATTGGTCATCTCCTCAAACAGAGAGGAAGCATCTGACAACAGTCAAATCTGAATTATCTCTCCCAGAGCTGTGAAAGTACAGACTTGGAATTTCATTAAAAGGATAATATTTTCTCTGTTATGAAAGGCTTGATTTTTGTCATCAAAATAAAAATAGTGGGGCTGGGATTGTGGCTCAGTGGTAGAGTGCTCGCCTAGCATACATAGGGTCCTAGGTTCGATCCTCAGCACCACATAAAAATAAATGAATGGAATAAAGGTATTGTGTCCAACTACAACTAAAAAAATAAAAATAAAAATAGTAAGGTAGGACTGGGGGTGTAGCTCACTAGTGGGTCAGTTGCCTAGAATGTGCAAGGTCTTTGGTTTGATCCCCAGCACACATGTGAGTGTTCATGTGCGCATGCATACACACACAAATTAGTAGTAATTATAATTTACAAAGCACATTTGAGTGCTATGTGTCATGTACTAAGCTAGTAGTTCCCATAGATAATTAACTTTATTTAATCTTCACAATATCCTGTGTGATAGGTACTAATATTATCACTGCTAGAATTTGGATCTGAAATATCCCTTGAAGGACCATGGGTTAAGGGCTTGGTCCCTAAGCTGTAGTGCTTTTGGGAGGTGGTGGAAGCTTTAAGATGTGGGGTCTACTTATAAGAAAAGTCAGCAGGAAGTTGTTCCTTGGAAGGGGATCCTTCCAAGACATTGATTCAGCTCTGGTAACTGCTTCTATGTTAGGTTCTGACACCTGACCCCTTCTTTCTTCTACTTTCTGGTCCCCATGAGGTGAGCAATCTTTTCCTGTAGGTGCTTCCTACTATGATGTGCTGCCTCACCACAGGCCCCAAGCAATATGGCCAATTGATCATGGACTAGACCTCCGAAACTGTGGGCTAGAATAAATCTTTCCCCTTATAAATTATCTCAGGTATTTTGTCACAGTGATGCAGACTAAGAAAATCACCCATTTTAATTTTTAAAATATTTATTTATTTTCTTATGTGGTGCCGAGGATCCAACCCAGGGCCTTGAACATGCCAGGCAATCCCTCAATCGCTGAGTCACAACCACAGCCCCAATGTCCTACTTTTTAATTTAACTTGTGGTGGTGTTGAGGGCCTCACAAGTGCTAGGCAAGTGCTCTACCACTGAGTCACATCCCAGTCCTTATCAACCTTCCTCCCTCCATCACCCTTTCAAAAATTAGGAAAATAAGTAGGAGAGCTGGATTCAAAGCCAGGTAGGTGTATTAGCTTGCCTGGGCCGCTATTAACAAAATACTAGAGACTAGACAGCTTAAATAGCAGAAGTTCATTTTCTTACAATCCCAAAGTCTGGAAGTCCAAGATTAAAGTGCCAACGTGGTCAGTTTGGTTGCAGAATCTAATATTTTCTCAGAGGCCCCATCTCCATATATAGCTGTCTTAGGTGCTAGGACTTTAAAATATGAATTTTGGGGAGGTGGACACAAACATTCAGTCCAAAACACCAGCACTGTTTGGCACCAAAGCCTGGGAAGACATAGCTGCAAAGTGGTCAAAACCTCTATTTTTTTCCTGATACTATTATTAGGATAGATGTGGGAAGTGGGGAGGGGGTGAATAATTTGCTTCATTTGTTGGTCAAAAACAAATCCAAGTGGGGCTGACAAGTTTTTAGACATCTAGCAACAGATCTCCCACAGGGCTTTGTTAAGGAACACTAGAAAGGGTTCCTGGATTTAGAAGTCCCACTAAACTTGGAATTTAGACAAAAAGGGAAGGCATTTAGAAGAAGAAAAAAACAATCCCACTGACCTCAGAAGCCATGACCCAGAACAATGTTTTAAAATTAATCCCCCAAATCAGAGATGGTTTGCTGTGGGGCCTAGCAGTTTTTCCAGCTGATGGCAACAGGTGAAGGGAAAGTTTTTTTCAAGTTCCTCCAAAGATGTGTTTGAGGCAATTTCTTTTTGTGGTCAGATTGTTTGGGTGCGATCACTGTTCTGAGGAAGGAATGAAAACTGTCTACAGAAGTATTTCAAACCTCTTTTCATTTCATTCCTCCTTCTTTGCAAAAGTACTAAAGGTATTTGGGACATTTGCTTGCATTAAAATCTTTTACTTAAAGGACTCCTGGTGTGTTTTCAGACAAGTAAGACATTCTTGTCAGTTTTAAGTGGTGGGGGTGGGGGTGGAGATTGTAGTCCCAAGTACCTTTAGGTCCAACACCTGCTCTAATTAATTTGCCTCTTGAACACCAGTAAATACTAAAATGTTCACTGAGTAAAATGGGATCAGTATTCACAAAATACAAATTTTTAGACAATGACAAGGGACCGTAAAATAACTGCAATTTTAAGCTTTTGGATAATTTTGGTTTAGTAAGTGATTCTTTCTAGAAGTGTTTGAATGTATTTTTTTTTTAAATCAGAATTTTCTGTTTGCTATTTTAATCTTTCCTGGTCAGAGACCCAAAAAAAAAAAAAAAAAAAAAAAAAAAAAACCAACACACCAAAAACCCAAATAAAAACCAACTTTTTTTTTCCTGGACATGGATCAAAAACTTAAACTGAATTTCTTAAGATCCAAAAGGGGAGGTAAAGCTGTTTTGGGCTGAATTAGAAGACCATGGAAATAGTGACAAGAGAGTGTCAACTATCCAGAGAATAAGTTGTTCCACCCTACCCAGGAGGAGTAGAACTGGGGCTAACATTTACTATCAGACTAGTTCTTACTAGCATTATCTACAAGCCAAAGAGACTTCTAGGTGGCTTTGCTTTTTATCAAACAGAATACACCCAAGGCCACCGTAACAAATGGGACTGCCAGTCAAAATGAAGGTCATACCATTAAAAAGAAGTTGTGGCTCTTGGGCAGATTTACAAATCTGACTTATTGCCTGTTTTGTAAATAAAACATTGTCTCTCTTTTTTCTTTCTTTCTTTTTTCCTGGTAAATGAAGTTTGATTGAAACACTGAACTCATCCTTTCATTTAAATATTGTCTTGGCTGCTTTTGTGCTAAAATGACAAGAGCTGAGAAGTTATAAGAGAGGTCATATAAGCCCATCAAGCCTAAAATAGTCACTATCTGGCCATCTGCAGAAAAAGGGCCTCAAGTTGTCCTTTCCCCACCTCCTCATCCACTGGCCTAGGTGGGATGCTTTCTGTTATCAGGTATTACATGAAGTCAGTTGAAGAAGTGACCATTCAAGCTCTGACCTGATTGTTTTTCCTTCAGCACAATGAACTTTGCCATCCATTAAAGCTTGAGCCACAGACTGAAATAAAATGATATAAAGGTTAAAGCATACCTATTTTCAATTAGCAGAAGCCAGAAAAGAATACAAGAAATTTATTTTTAAAACTTTAAATAAGTAATTAACTAGAGGGAATCTTCTTTAACTTGATCTTTTCTTCTATATTTGAAAAGTATTTCATCTTTGTTAAAATTTCCTTGGCTTTTTCAAAGTCATCTGAAATAAACAAGAGACACTGACGTCAGGCTTCATTTTAAGCAAGAATAAAACCAACTCTGGCAACCATGGCAGCTAGATCAAAGCCTGGGTTGTTGGAGGGGCCCTCAATTACTCAGAAAATCAGCAAGCGGGGAGTGAGGACATCTGAATTATTAAGGAGACAAAGAGATTAACCAAAAGGAGGCAAGAGCACATGTTTACAGGGTTTGGATAAATCAGAGAAAATGATTCTCTTCAGGAGGGTCCCAAATAATAAATGGACTGTGTTTTAACAGTTTTCCCCTAACACATATGGTGGTAGCCCTGCGGAGGCCGTAGAAGAACCAGGTGCTTCTCTTAAGACAGGTGCCAAGGCACAGAGCTGTCCTCAGGTGGCTTTCAGTCTCTGAGAATGATGCCCTAAGCTGGTGGCTTTCAAGTGAGTGTGATTTTGCCTCCAAGGGGACATTTGACAATGTCTGAGGCATTTTTAGTTGCTGTAACCTGGAAGGTGTTACTGGCATCTAGTGGGTACAAGCCAGGGATGCTGCTAAATACCTTAAAGTGCAAAGGACAGCCCTTTATGACCAAGAATTATCTGACTCAAAATGTTGGTAATGTGGGGCTGGGGCTGTAGCTCAGTGGTAGAGCGCTTGCCTAGCACGTGTGAGGCACTGGGTTTGAGCCTCAGCACCACATAAAAATAAATAAAATAAAGGTATTGTGTTCATCTACAACTAAAAAAAAATTTAAAAAATGTTGGTAATGCTGAGGTTGAGAAAACCAGACTTAGATAAATACAAAATAATGTGATGAGTGCTGAAGTGAGGATATGTTACAATTACCCATATTGAAAATAAAATAACAGAAAAAAGTTTCAGAATACATAAACTATGATGCTATTTATACAAAGATTAAAAAAATATGCAAAAGTAAGTGATTTACCGTTATATCCATTAAAACTACAAGAAAAGCAATGGAATGATTAATACAAAATTTGGGAAAGTGGTCACTGTGAAAGGGAGATTTAATGTAATAGCAAAGGACCTGCAGGGAGCTTGAACACCATTTCTTTTTTTCTTTTAAATTTAGAGACAGAGTCTCACTGAGTGAGGCACTGAAGAACTGCCTCAGCCTCCCCAGCTGCTGGGATTACAGGCATGTACCACCATGCCCAGCTATCCTTACTTTTTTAATATTTATTTTTATTTTTAAAAAATATTTGTTTAGTTATAGTTGGACACAATATCTTTTAATTAGCTAATTAATTTATTTTTATGCGGTGCTGAGGATCGAACCTAGGGCCTCACCCGAGCTAGGCGAGAGCTCTACTGCTAAGCCACAACCCCAGCCCTTAATATTTATTTTATTGTATTTATGTATGTATATATTTATTTATTTTGGTACTGGGGATTGAACCCAGAGGCACTTTATCACTGAGCCACATCCCATCCCTTTTTATTTTGAGTTAGGATTTCACTAAGTTTCTTAGGGCCTTCTTCAATTACTGAGGCCGGCCTTGAACTTGCATTCATCTTGCCTCACCCTCCTGAGTTGTGGGATTACAGATGTGCACCACTGTATCTGGCAACTTTTTAAATATCCAAATATCTGAAAATTAGGGTAAAACATACAGTTTATCAGGTTATTTATTTATTTTTTGGTGGTGTAGGGGTTTGAACCCAGGGCCTCACACATGCTAGGTTAAGTGTTCTACACTGAGCCTTATCCCTGGCCCTTCACTTCACTCCTTATATGTCCTTATATAACTTATATGTTGTCATATTTATATAGTGAGGCTTTTATTTTATTTTTTTTGGTGGTACTGGGAATCAAACTGAGGGCGTACTGTGCTCTATCACTAAGTTATATATCCCAGCCCAGCCTGTATCTTTTTATTTCTTTCCTTTTTTTGAGAGTCTTACTGTTGCCTTTGGTCTTAAACTCCTGGGCTCAAGTGATCCTCTAGCCTTAGCCTCCCAAGTAGTGGCTTACAAACATGTGGCACTGAGTATGGCTGGGGGTGTTGTCCTTGACCCCACCCCGTACTGGATTGCACACACAGACTCTGTACCACTCAGCCACCCTCAGGCTCTTTTATTTTCTTTTTGAGACAGGGTCTCACTAAGTTCCCAGGCTAGCCTCAGACTTGTGATCCTCTGTCTCTACTTCCTGACTAGCTGAGAATACAAATGTGAGCCACAGCACTTGGCTTCTATTACTGTTTTGAACAAACTTGTTTGTTAGATCAATTGAGAATAATGAAAAAAAAAAAAAGTATTTGACATTCATTTATTCCTTTTCCAATAATCTTCTTTCCTCTATGTAGACCCAAATTTCAGACCCGTATCATTTTCTTCTATTTCTTTTTTTCCTGCAGTGCTGGGGATCAAATCCAGGGTCTTGTGCACGCTAGGCAAGTGCTCTATCACTAAGCCATACCCAGTCTTTCCTTCTCTCTAAAGAACTCCTTTTAGCTTTTCTTGTAAGGCAGGTCTGCTGGCACCAAATTCCTTTAGTTTTTGTTTCTCTAAGAAAGTATTTTTCCTTCAGATTTGAAGGATGATACCATAGTACAGAATTCTAGGTTGATAGACTTTAAATAGTTCACTTTTTTTTTCTTTTTTGGTCATGCTGGGGATTGAACCCAGGGCCCTGTGCATGCAAGATAAGCACTCTACCAACTGAGCTATATCCCTGGCCCAATATTTCACTTCTATACCTTACCTTAGTTTCTTGCTAAAGTGGAATGGAAGTACCTTCCTCCTATTTAATGTTTCACTGGGATATTTCTGTTTTTGGTTCACAGTTTGTTTCTATAGCAAGACTAGAACTCTTTAAAGACAGAAGTATAATTCATACATATTTTATATTTCCAGGTACCTATCAGAGGATAAGTATATAAAAGCTACTAATTGAATGAACAATTATGCCTCAATGCTTAAAATTTCTTTCCATATTTAACACAGTCAAAACATAGAATACCTTGTTCAAAAGCTCTGCTCACGTTGTCAGTACATTCTTTCTGTTTAGCTGAAAGAGAAACCATTATCTTAGTTTTTCTATTTAAATAGACTCATAATACCACTTTGTAATCATCTAGCTTTAAACAGGCAGGAAGCTTAGATTCAAGGTTATGGTTTCATAACCTTTGTTTCTGAATATACCTCAATGGTGGCTGCAGTTTCATGCAGCACCAGGCCAGGCGGCTGAGGGAGGAGGATCACAAGTTTGAGGTCAGCCTCAGCAGCTTAGTGAGACCCTGTTTCAAAATAAAAAATAAAAAAGGCTATGGGTGTAATTCAGTGGTAGAGCACCCCCGGGTTGAATCCAAGTACTACCTCCAAAAATAAACACACAAAAAGAAGCAACACTGGCTGAACCTCATTACACTGTTTTTTTTTTTTTTGTATCAGGGATTGAACCCAAGAACGCTCAACCACTGAGTGACATCCCAAGCCATCCCCAGCCCTTTTTATTTTTTATTTTGAGATAAAATCTTGATAAGTTGCTGAGGCTGGCTTTGAACTTGTGATCCTCCTGCCTCAGCTTTCTGAGCTACTGATTACAGGTATGTGCCACTATACCAGGTTACACTGTTTTTTAGCCCATGGAAGGTCTGAGAGGCAATCGCTGAGGTTTATAAAATTGTAGGAAATCAAATTAAAAAAAAAGGGATAGGAGGAGTGCTATAGTTTGGATAAGAATCTTCCAAAGGTCCATGTGTTAGAGGCTTGGTCACTAGCCTATTGGAGAATGGTGGAACTTTTAGGAGGCGAGGCCTAGTGGAAGGCAATTAGGCCATTGTGGGTCACTCTTTTTGCTTCCTGGTTTCTTTGAGGGGAGTAGCTTCCTCCACTGTATTTTTCTGCCATGATGTGCTGCCTCACCCTGGGCCTCCAGAGCAGTTGGGTCAACCAAACATGAATGTAGACTTTCAACGGGGCATGGAAATGCACGCCTGTACCTACAGCAACACGGAAGGCAGGAAAATAAAAAATTTGAGTCCAGCCTCAGCAACTTAGCAAGCCCCTAAGCAACTTAGTGAGACACTGTACCAAAATAAAAAAATAAAAACAAAATGGGCTGGGGATATAGCTCAGTGGCCAAGCACTCCTGGGTTCAATTTCTAGTAATCTCCTCCCCAAGAGACTGATACCTCTAAAAATGTGAGCCAAAATAAGCCTTTTTTTTTTTTTTTAAATTTGTAAGCCGATAACCTCAGGTATTTTGTCAGAGATGGAAAGCTGACTAACACAGGGGACAAGGATATGCCTCATTGCCTCCAACAAGTAGTCTTCCAGATTTCAGTGAAAAAATTAACACCCAAGCATCACCTATCAGCAGGGCACACCAAGTGTTTTAGGAAGCTATCTCATATTTCTTTTGCTTCTTCATTAGAAAATGTGGAATTTTAAAAATTACCGAGTTTTCCAGATATAAATAATACCAATCATTTATACAGTGCCTTCTTTCAAAGAACTTTGAAATACATCATATTACCAAGGTAGTTAAAGATAGATAGGGAGGGAATTGTCCCATGACTGGGAACTGCAGGAGCTGGGAAAAGAAGCCCAGGCACCTGACTTCCAGCCCAGTGTTTGAATCTTGCCTCTTGAATAGCAACTGGCATCAACGAAAGAGCACTGGATGGTAAGTCCACAGGCTCTGAAGTCCTGATCCCAAACTAACTGGTTCTGTGACCTTGTACATTTACTTAATAAGGCCTGACTGGTACCAGTTGGGGAGGAAATGTAGGAATTAAATCTAAATCAAGGGGCTGGGGTTGTGGCTCAGTGGTAGCGTGCTTGCCTAGGATGCGTGAGGCACTGGGTTTGATCCTCAGCACCACATAAAAATAAAAACAATAAAGTTCATCAGCAACCAAAAAAATATTAAAAAAAAAAAAAATCTAAATCAAGGTCCGTTCTCGAAGTCAAGAACTAGACTAAGTGTGTGACCCGCTTTTTTTATCTTTACCTTATTTCCTTACAACAAGCAGTACTAATAGTTTCTGTTTTATGGATGAGGAAACTGAGGCCGAGATGCGTGAAGTCACTTGCTCATGGTCACATAAAAAAGTCAGAAGCAGTGGTGGCAATAGACCCACGTCTCCTTCCCCTCAGAGCTTCATGCTGCCTTGCTTTCTGAAGCAGCAAGCCCTTCTGATGGCATGCTCTGGGTCTCTCCTTTCTGTACATCACCCAGTCCTAATGCTATTAAAACAGTTGACAGTCTCCTCACTACAACTTCTATTTTATAGTCTTTAATTTTTTTTGCTATTACTCATTTAATAAATATTTCCTGAGTTCCTGTTATGCTCTGAATACTGTAGTGTGAGCTAAAGATGTGAGGAAAGTAAAAAAGCAGGCACAATTTCTGCTTCTTTCGAAATCTAGTGGGGAGATCAATATTGTTCAAATAATGTCACACAGAAGTGTACAGTTATAACTGTGATTAATCTTATACAGGAGAAGTATAGAGGTCAAAAAAGGCTTCTCTGAGGAGTGGTGACTGCTCCCAGATCTGAAGGAGTTAACTTAGATGGGGTCTGGGGGAGATGAGGATTTTGGGCAGCAACCACAACATATGCAAAGGTGCTGGAATAGGAGGGTGCCTGGTACAGATGAGGAAATGGAAGCCACTGTGTCTATAGTGAAGCGGACAAAATGGAGAAGAGGCCAGAGCATACGGGGTCTTATAAGCCATGCTGAAGATTTTGGTTTTGCCAGGTATGGTGGTGCACACCTATAATCTCAGTGATTCAGGAGGGTGAGGCAGAAGGATCACAAGTTTAAGGCCACCGCTGACAGCTTAGTGAGGTTCTGTCTCAAAATTAAAAAGAAGTAGTGCTGGATATATAGCTCAGTGGTAGAGCTTCCCCGGGTTCAATCCCCAGTTACTCCCCCCACCAAAAAAAGTTACTCAGGAGACAAGGTAGGAAGAGATAATTTGAGTTCAGAAATTCAAGACCATCCTGGGCAACATAGTGAGACCTTGCCTAAAATAAATAAATAAATAAATTAGTTTTAAACCCGAGGACAGTGAGAAACCACTTAAAGCTTTTTAGGAAGGCCAAGGATGGTGATTAATTTAGGTTTCAAAAAGATTACACAAAGACAGGAATATTTAAATCTGGCAGACAGACCAGTTAGAAGCTACTGCAGTTGTCCAGGTGAGAGGGAATGGTACTTGGAACAGGGTTGTAGCAGTGAAAATAGTGATGGGTGGGATGGATGAGACACAGTTAGGTCACTCTTTAAGGCTTGGTGATGGATTGACTATGAAGGGAAGAGAGAATTAACTTGTTATGATATCTGCTAAGGGTTTATAATTGTTCAGCTATATGGTGGCATTCATGTAACAGAGGGAACACTGGAAGAGGCACAGGTGATTTGGTGGAAAGGCAAAGAAAGGAGACACATAACTTTCAGTTTAAACATGCTGGGTTAGAATATATAAACTTAACGAGGACACAGACCATGTCTTTTTTGTTCCTTCCTATATTCTACGTCATTTATAGTGCTTGATACATAGTAGGCAGACTATAAATATTTGAAAAAGTGCATAAACACATAATCTGTATGAGAACCTGGGATTCTTTTCTAAGTGGAATGATTAATTTTATTTATCAACTTGGATAGGCTATAGTGCTTGGGTGTTGATCAACTCTGGTCTGCTTGATGGCACATACCTCTCACCCAGCTAACTACACAGGAGGGTGGGGGCAGGAGGATCACAAGTTCAATGCCAGTCAGGGCAACTAATGAGAACCTGTCTCAAAATAAAGAATAAAAAGGGGGACTGGGGTTGTAGCTTAGTGGTAGAGTGCTTGCCCCGCATGCGTGAGGCACTGGGTTCGATCCTCAGCACCACACAAAAATAAATAAATAAAATAAAGATTAAAAAAAAAAAAAAAAGAATAAAAAGGACTGGGGATATAGCTCAGTGGTAAAGTATCCCTGGGTTCAACCACCAGTACTAGGAAACAATAATAACAATGGTCTAGATGATACTGTGAAGGTGTTTTTTATGTGATTAATATTTATGGGGCTGGAGTTGGGGCTCAGTGGTAGAGTGCTCACCCAGCATGTGCGAGACCCTGGGTTTGATCCTCAGCACCACATATAAATAAAGGTATTGTGTGCAACTACAACTAAAAAATAAATAAACATTAAAAAAATATATATATATATTTATAATCAGTTGACTTTATTGTATTTATTTTTTTGCAGTCCTGGAGATCAAACCCAGGGCTTTTCCCAAGCTCAACAAGTGTCTACTATTGAGCTACATCCTCAGCTCTCAGCTCTATAGATTTTAGATGTGCCAGACCCCACAGTCATTCAGGCCAACTCCTTCAAATAAACCTATCTGTATCATATGGGTTTTCTAGAAAACCCTGACAGATATACTATGGAATAAAGTAAGAAACAAACCCATTCAGGATCAGAAGGTCAGAATTTCAAGGTTTGTCCTGTTGCATATCTACTTTGTGACCTTGGGTGCCTATGCTTTGTGATCTTGGACATTTCTGCCAACTTCTGAAGCCCATTTTACTTGTTAGAGATAAAAATAGTATCTAAATCATATTGTGAGTAAAAAAGACCACTGCAATGTACAAAATATAATTATGTTCTTGATTTAAGGCTGCCTTCTAGCTGGGAACATGGGCACATGCCTGTAATCCCAGCTACTCAGGAGACTGAGACAGGAGAATTAAAAGTATATGGCCAGCTTGGGCAACTCAGTGAGGCCCTATCTCAAAAAATAAGAAGTTCTGAGGATGTAGCTCAGTGGCAGAGCACTCCTGGGTTCAATGCCCAGTACCAAAAAATGAACAAAACAACAACAACAAAAAACTGCCTTCCACATGGTTAGAGATGTTGCAAGTTTAACCTCCAAGCAAAACTGGTTTTAGTATGATTAAGAAAAAAAAAATTCCTTGATTCTTTATTATGACCAATGTGCTGGCAAGTGCTCTACCCTTGATCCAGAATCCCAATACCCAACATGTACTCTATGTCCATTTTTTCATTTAATCCCAGACATGTATGCATAACAACAATAAAATGCATTCAATATTTGCTCTTTTACCTTGTATAGTGGATTCAATTTCTATCACGGCAGCTTCACTTTGAGCTTCTGCAAGTTTTTCATTGATTTCCATTATTTCCATGAGGAATTGACTATCCATTTCATAATCTGTCCCTTTAGGAATCTCTATCCCATGAAGCTTTAGCTATTGAAGCATAGACCAAGGAAAATAAGATTGGTTAGAGAAACTATGACCAGAGTCATGTAAATCTTGCTTACCCATCAGAATAAAATACCACTCATGGGGAACACTTGATCCGTCTCAATAATGAAAGTGTGAGGTAGGCTGTCAAAAGCCTGAACAGAGACAGGAGTTCTGAAACAGCATCCCACCTTATGTTACCTGGAACTGTGTGGCCCTGAGGTAGGCAGTCCTCCACTTGGAATTTAAAATAGATGTTTGTAAACTTTCTATTCAATTCTAAAATTTTCTGGATTCTAAGATGTTCTTGGGAGGAAAAAAAACAAAACAAAAAAACCCGAAGTTACTCTTCCCTAAAAACTATCATTATCAAATCCTTGAAATTTATAGAAAATGATTAAAACAATGCAATTGGGGCAATTAAGATTTACAAAGAATACTTGGAAAAGTACACTTGTATAATATATTTTTTTTCTTTGTGTACGATCTCTGAGGCTAAATATCACTGGGTTCCTGGACTTGCTAAGGTTTCAAGAACACTTCTGCTGAATACAGGGGGAAGTTATTCATAAAGACTTGAGAAATCACCTTACAAGGTATAGTCCCCTGCTCAGGGGGGCCAGCAGGGTCTTATAGGCATCATTCACCAGGGTTGAATGCTTCTCTGAGAAGTCCTTTTCAGTCTGTTAGTAGAGAAGAAGATAGTCTTATTATCATTGAAATCTGCCTTCTCATTCACAAACTTTTATAATAGGCTGATAGGCAGGCACCTAAGGAAGTGGCCAGAGTAGAACTGGTGCTGGGTGAGGTGTCTTTAATTTTAGCTCATGAGTTCTAAGTTGTCTGTGTAATCAGACAAACAATGTGAGGGAATGACATTTCCAGGGCCTGCTTGGCTGGGGTCCCGCTGCCACAGGATGGAGCTGGTAGTCTAACTTTGTCCCTGATAATCACATAATCACAGGCCACTGCTACCTACCCAGTATATAGGTGTCTGGGGAATATGGGGGTGGCCAATAAATTACCTGAGATCTCTGGCTGAAGAAATCTGGGTGGACAAGACGCTGTAGTTGCTGAAACCTGTGCTGGAGTTTTGTAGTGTTAACTCTGAAGGAACGGTTGCTAGAAGGAAATTGGGAGATAAAATTCATGTCACAGATGTTTACAGATTTATATGTTATGAGACTGGCTCTTAAAGGGAAGATGTAATCAACATGAAGAGAGAGAATTTAAAAAGTGGTAGGTGCTATGAAGGAAAGTTGAACAGGGTCAGAGAAGGTGGCAATGTGTGGAGAGAGATGACATTTGAGCTAAATTCTGAGTTGTAGAGAATCAGATGTGACTGTGTTACTATTACTGTCCTTGATGGAGTCTGCCTGCAAACAGGATATTCTGTCAAGGTATAGATAGGTAACAGCGGACATGCTTGAAAACGAGGTGTCTGCTGTCCTTGGGAGGGCCTACTTGCAAACGAGAGGCTCCTTCAAGGTTTAGATAAGGTAACTGCAGACATGCTTGAAAACAAGGTGTCTGCTGTCCTTGGGAGGACTTGCCTGCAAACGGGATGTTCTGCCAAGTGGGCTAGGAGGGCGCTGAGAAAAATTTTATTATCTGTTCTTAACAAAGAGCAGAGCTCAACATACTCCGGGCCGAGAATAGATTAGCCATGAGAAGCGGGTCACTTCTGATTAGAAAGTAAAACTTCTGTGTGCTATGTTTAATTAGCTGAAAGACCTGATTTATTGATGTTGGAAGGCTGACTTCTTTGTTCACAATACTATAAAAAGATTGCTTGTACACAATAAAGGACTTTTTTTCTGCTGCTGCTTTGCTTGCTCTGCTTCTTCTTTCTTTTCCCATGCTGACCTGCAAGTGAATTACTGCAACACTGCGTGATACATCTGAATGATTAATCAAAGATCAGAGAAAATTGTCATCCAGCAGAGAGAACTTCAAGTGCAAAGACTCTGAGATGGGAGGCAAGATTGGAAACTTAACAGGGCCTGGAGCTGCACGCCAGGCAATCGTAAGCTCAGCAGCTCAGGAGGCTGAGGCAGGAGGATCACGAATTCAGTCAGCCTCAGCAACAGAGAAGCACTAAGCAACTCAATGGGACCCTGTCTCTAAATAAAATACAAAATAGGGCTGGGGATGTGGCTCAGTGATCGAGTGCCCCTGAGTTCAATCCCAGGTATACCCCCTTCCACACAAACACAAATTGGAAACTTGACAACTTAAAAAGTCGGGTTACTACAGCCCATCATTAAGTGCTCAGTGACTGGTGGGAGCAGATTAGGGGAAGGGGCATTCTGAAATCTAACCTATCTTTCCAACGTGCAGGTTCCTTCATCCCTGTCTCCCACTTTAACCCAATCTCCTTCTCTTCCAACTCCCAGAATCTGCCTTACTTGCTTACCAGTTCAGCTCTACCCACACCTCTCCAGGCTACTCAATCTTCAGAATAATGAAGGGAAAAACCCCATTGGACCCTCTTCTTCCAATTTCCATTTTGCCCTTGGAGCTTGCCAACAACATTTTTCTGTCTTTATTCCCATGAGTAATAAAGACAGTAAAGCCGCCTTGGTGCTGGGGATCGAACACCAGGGCGTCAGCACCAGTCTGTCAAGCATGCTAGATAAAGGCCACATCTCCGACCCTCACTCTCTAATCTTGGACTCCACTTCCATACTTCTTTTTTAAAAGTCTCAACCCAGCTCCAACTTCCGGAGCCTTTCCCTTCTCTCAAATTCGGCCTCTCATCTTCCCTTCTCAGTCAGGAAGCTCTGGCCCCTCAAGTCTCCCTCCCCAGTCACCCTCGATTTCCTCCATTCCCCGCCCCTCCCCTTTCCTCTCCATCCTCAAACGCCCCTTCCCTTAGTCCCCGCCCCTCAGTTTCCTCTCTTGGAGACCCCTCCCCGAGCTCGCTCTCTAGGACTCCACCCACTATCTTCGCAGCCCGGCCTTCCCACTCCCAAGCCCCATCGGCCCTCCTCTCACGCAGGCCAGCCCCCGACGTCTCTCCCGTCCCGACCTCCTTTACCAATCCATGAGGCTGAAGTAGTCTCTAGTCGGGTCCGGCGGCTGCAGCGCTCGGCACTGGTGGCAGAAGAACCCGTCCCCCCGCCCGGGGCTGCCGCAGTTCCAACACCTCGCCGAACCGTTTCCCTCTTCCGACGCAGCATGGCAGCTTAACACTCTCCTTCCGGGGACCCCTGCGGGCCGCAACCCGCATAGCCGAAACAACACCTGGGCCCTCACGCCCCACATCTGGCCCGTGGCCTATCGGGCCGCCGTCACCTGCTGGGGAGAAAAGCCGAGAGCGTGGCCGCACACACGAGTGCTGCTGATTGGCTGAGAGCCGAGGGGGCGAGGTCTCCTGGGGGGAACTTGGACGCTGAGTTCCGCTTGCGTTCTAAACTACAATTCCCAGTAAGCATTGAGGCCACACGCGGTGGTCACATCCGCTGCTCTTCATTGGTCGGGCTGCGGCGGGGGGTGTTTTGATTGGCTGAGGGTGGAGTTTGTATCTGCAGGTTTAGCGCCACTCTGCTGGCTTCGCCTGCGGGAAATTTGCGGCTTCAGGTGGGCTCACGCGGTGAGTCATAGTGGAAAACTTAACTTGGGTGCTTGGGGGTTCGAATCCCATTCCCAGGGTCTTAGCAAGGGGAGTCTCCCGAGCTTCCGCATTTCTGGATTTTTTTTTTTTGATCTGGAGGGGGGAGCGCGTGGGCGACACTCTTCCTTTGTAGCTAATCTTCGAGGTGAAATTTACTTTCCCTCTTACTACAAGTTGAAACAGGCCTGGATGTACAGGATGAGAAAGAACAGAGTTGTGCTTCTCAATACCAGAGCGGAGTTACTTTGTAAAGACTTCTATGAACATTAATAATTATTGCCATTCTTTAGATTCAATCTCTAAAAAAATACTTCTTGAGAACCCAATCTTAACTGCTAGGCGCTGCAGGAACTGGAAACGCAGTTAGTAGGATATTCTAAGTGTTCATAAGTTAAGTGTGTGGGGTGGGGTGGCAAGGAATGGATAGGAGAGGACCAGTCCTCGCTGGGACTCAGTTTCTCTATTTGAAAGAAAGGTTGTTTGGCATTCGGAAGGCCTCTTGATTTCCTTGGGACTGGAATTCTGTTCCTAGTCTTAGAGATTTGCTTTGGTTACTTTGTTTTTTCACTCACCACTGGTCTTCCATTAAAAATAGCTCTCCATTAGCAAACATTATGAGGGGAGGAATTTTACATGCATTACCTCAGTTAATCCTCACGGTTCATCTGTTTTTTTCAAATGAGGAAGTGGGTTCAGAGAGGTGATTTATTGAAAGCTCACTACTTGTCAGGCTGGAGAAGTATTGCTCAACAAAACTGCAGAGGGGCTTGGGATGTAGCTTAGTTGTAGAGTGCATGCTTAGCATGTATGATGTCCTGGGTTCCCCAGCTTTGGAGGGAGGGGGACAGGGAAGCATCAGAGGGATTCAGCCTGGCTGAGGCAGTATTAGACCAGCAGGTCCTGGAGTGGTAGACTCCGCCATGGCATCACTTTCCTGAATATGTTTGAAGGATAACCATCTGGACCTTTGTATTTCCAAAGCTATGTAAATGCAGTTAGTATGAGTATAGCTTTTTACTGGCCCAGAGTGTGGGTTGGAGGAAATGTACCTTTTTATTTTGAAAAAGAAAATCTGATTAGATCATTGAAATTTTCTTTGGCTTCACTGGTGATTCTGTTTTCAGAGTCTATCAAGTGAATTAAAGGGTCAGAGGCTCTGTTAATGATCTCCTGTGATCCAATCATTCCTTTAAGATTCCTCCAAAGCTGGAAAGTCTTTGGATGCTGCGACATTGAGCCACATGTTCCTTAGCATCAAAAGGATTAGGTTGGGTTGGAGCTGTGGCTCAGTGGTAGAGCGCTCGCCTTGCATAGCACGTGCAAGGCCCTGTGTTCCATCCCCAGCACCACATAAAAAAATAAAATTAAATAAAGGTATTGTGTCCAACTCCAACTGAGAAATAAAAGTAAAAAGAATTAGGTGGATTTGTCTAGAGCACTCCTCTTTGGGTTCTGCCTCATTAAGTGAACTTGCCCTTAGTTAGGACAGTGTCAGGGAACCTAGACTGAACAAATAGGACTTAATTCCAACCCTACTGGAGAATACCCTGGGTATAAGGGGCACAGATATTTTATGCAAATGATTTCCTTAAAGTGGTAAAGGGAGTTACTGTACAGTTTCTTTTTATCAGTCTTGTATTCCATGTCCCTTGACCCTTTCTTTTCTTTTCCTTTCAAAGCATATATGAAATTTAAATGTATTATCGATACATATTAATACATTTGTATCCTAATTTTCAATATTTGGATGCATGGAAGTTTTTATGAGCCTCCCAATTCAATTTTATTGTTTTTTGTGTATCTGTAATCTTCAAATTATTTATATATGTGTGTGTATATATATATATATATATATATATATATATATATATTGATATTGATATTTTCTCTTTGCTTTATAGCTATTAGACAAAATGCTGATCCAGTGAAAGTGATCTTATGAAAAGCCCAGCCCAGGAAAACCAGAAGTGGACTATTTGGATTTTAATTTTTGCAGAGCACGCTTGACCTGGATTTTTTCTTTTCTTTTTTTGTCACTGTAATATGTCCATTCTTGACTCTTGAACTTCAAGCCTTGTTCCTTGAAATTCACCTTATTTTTGGACACTTAACTTTTTGAAGTCGTGATGTCTCGAGAGACGGATGCAGAGAGTCAACAGTCCCACAGCAGCACCTCCCCTCAGGCTCATGCCAGTGGTGTCTCTTCACAGGCCCAAGGTGGCTTCATTCAGTCCCAAGTCCTCTCCCCACAATCCCACGGGTCCTCACAGTCCCAAGGCACATCCAGCTCTTCTACCAGCACTGCACCCACCTCCAGCCAGTCCTCTCACTCCAGCTCCGGGACGCTAAGCTCCTTAGAGACAGTGTCCACTCAGGAACTCTATTCTATTCCCGAGGACCAAGAACCCGAGGAACCTGCCCCTGCCCCTTGGGCTCGATTATGGGCCCTTCAGGATGGGTTCACCAATCTTGGTAAGACCTTTGTTGTATGTTATTGTATACTATTCAGAAAAGCAATTACAGATGATTGTTGCAGTCCAAAACTCAGGACATTTCTGGCATGATTCTGGAGTTTGAAAGTGATGAAAGAAAAAAGAGCCACTGGTGGGTAGTGCACTGGCTTTTACTTGCTGTGGATTCCCTTCATTTATTCAAATATTAATGGGGCATTTGCAATACGCTATGCATCTGAAACTCTGAAGAGAGCTGTGGAACCTCTTACAGATTCCACTCGGAGTGGCGGCGCACACCTGTAATTCCAGCAGCTCAGAAGGCTGAGACAGGAGGATCACGAGTTCAAAGCTAGCCTCAGCAAAATCAAGGCTGCTAAGCAACTCCGTGAGACCCTGTCTCTAAATAAAATACAAAATAGGGCTGGGGACGTGGTTCAGTGGCCACATGTCCCTGAGTTCAATCGCTGGTATTAAAAAAAAAAATTGCAGATTCATGCAAAGTTGAAAACATTATTATCTAATCATAGAATCTTTGCCATTTAACCCCTGATGTGGTTTGATATAGCTTCAAAGCTGTTCAGAATAGGCATGGCTCTTGGGCTGGGGTTGGGGGACTCAGTGGTAGAGCGCTTGCCTAGCATGTGCGAGGCACTGGGTTGGATCCTCAGCACCACATTAAAAAAAATAAATAAATAAAATGAAGATATTGTGTCCAATTACCACTAAAAAAATTATTTAAGAATAAGGATGGCTCTTTTGTTGACTACCTGTTTTTTATTTATTTTTGTTTTTGGTACTGGAGATTGAACCCAGGAGTGCTTAACCACTAAGCCACATTCCCAGCACTTTTTTTTTTTTATTTTGAGATGAGGTTCACCAAGTTGCTTAGGGCCATGGTAAGTTGCTGAGGCTCGTTTTGAACTGTGTTCCTCTTGCCTCAGTTTCCAAAGCCGCTGGGATTATCAGGCTATTTTTTGTTTTGAGCCAGAGTCTCACTAAGTTGCCCAGTCTGGCTTTGAACTTGTGATCTTCCTGGCCTCAGCCTTCCAAGTTACTGGGATTATATGCATGTGCTACCATACCTGGTAAAATCTTAAATTTAGAAGTATATATTTGGAGTTATTTGTTCCTTTTTTTAAGCCATATTTTAAAGATATGCTTATAGACTTGGGTGAGTGAGAAACAGAAATGGTAAGAAAGCATGAAATGGGATGCATTAGTTTTGGTAGTCACAAAACATTCAAAGAGCCTAAGAGGGCTGGGGATATAGCTCAGTCGGTAGAGTGCTTGCCTGCATGCACAAGGCCCTAGGTTCAATCCCTAGCACCAAAAAACAAAAACAAAAAAGAACCTAAGAGGGTGACCAGTAGATAATAAAAGTGTCCCCCTTCCCCACCATATTGGGGATTGAACTCAGGGCTTTGTGTATGCTAACTAAGTAAGCATTTTACCACTGAGCTACATCCTCAAGCTCCAGTGGTAGAACACCTTTTTTTTTCCCCTCAAGTACTGGGGAAAAAAAAATTGTGTGAGAGCACTAATTTGAGGCTCTATTTCTGGACTCTGAATTCTGTTCCATTGATTTATGTGTGTATCCTTATGTCAGTACCAAACAATCTTGGTTACTTTGGCTTACTAAATTTTGAAATCCAGAAACATGAGTCTCAATTTGCTTTTCCAAGATTGGGCTATTCTAGATTCCTTGCATTGTCATATGAATTTTAAGTTTGTCACTTCCTGCAAAGAATGCAGTTGAGGGTAGTTGAGTCTGTAATTGGGGGAGTCTGGACAGCCTTACAATATTGTCTTCCAATCTATGAACATGGAGTATCTTTCCATTTATTTCAGTTCTTCTTTAATTTCTTTGAATAAAACTTTATAGTTCTCACTATACACGACTTGCACTTTGAAGAATTTATTCCCAAATCTCTGCTTTAATGTTTACCTTTTGATTGTGATAAAATCTAAACAGAGCAGCCCAGTTGTGACTCAGTGTGGTAGAGCACTCATTTAGGCACTAAGGTACTGAGTTCGATCCTCAGCACCAAATAAAAGTAAACAAATAAAGGAATTCTGTCCCTCTACAACTACAAAACATTAAAAAAAAAAAAAAAGTATTGTATCCACATAGAACTAAAAAATTACACATAAATACAAAAAAAATCTAAACAGAAACTTTATGTCCACGGAACAATTAC